CGGTATCAAAAGCAAAACCCAAAGTCCCCCTAAAAACTGAACTCCCTGAAAGAATAATGAGCCCAGTGAGTGTCACTACTGACACAGGCTCTCAAGGTTAAAGCAGATAATTGCAGAGGATTGCACAAACCTCTCAAAGATTCAGTGTGGAAAGGAAAATGAAAAGTACTTTGAAAAACCTGCAGGCCCTTGAAGCATTTACAAGCCCCACTGAGTCTCCTCATTGACAAAGGCTCTCAAGGGACTAACTAAAGCAGATCTTTGAAGGCCATGATTGCACAAACCTCTCAGAGACTGTCAAAAATAAGTGCCTAAACAAACTTTGAATATCTTGAAGCATTAATGAGCCCCACTGAGTGTTGTTACTCTAATAAACACTGCTAGAATTCATCTCAGTAAAAGAAACAAATGAACTACTAGAGCCTCATAAAAGAATAAAAGAAACGGATTGTAAAATTTAATTACACCCCCATAAAGAGATAAGGCAGGCCATTTGTAAGGTCATCAAGGTCATAAGTCATAAACTGTCTCTGCTTTCCTAAAATGAATTATGGTAGAATTCTAATCTTCTAGGCGCCTTGTTGTCCGAGAATGTATGAATTATAAGGAAACTGTCACTGTTGTAGAGATAACAACCGAGCTTTAGTTGTGAAAACCATCATCAACGCTGGGCTTCGTGAACAAAGATTTGAGAAGGGCTCTACCCACACTTGCTACAAGCGCACTGATGGCTAAAAAGGCCAATGGGAGATAGACAAGTCCGGTTGCAGAAGGCACAGCAGAAAGACCCAGGATTCAGACCCATAGAAAAGAGTAGACAGTACAATGGCTCTGTAAACACTGATCTTGGTACTTTTCTTCAGGTGTTTATTTCTCCAAACTCTTTTATGGAGTTTACCAAAAGCTCTGTATGCCTTTGCTAACCTGTTGTCTATTTCTGCATCAATCTTACCGTCTGAGGAGATGATGCTTCCCAGGTAATTAAATTGCTGGACTGATTTGAGCTCTGATTCACCAATAGAGGGATGATGGGAGACTTCCTGAGGTGCTGGTTGGCAGAAAACTTCTGTCTTCTTCAAGCTGACTTCCAGCCCAAGAAGCTCAGCAGCCTCTGCAAAGCAGGATGTTAAACGCTGCAGAGCTGCTTCTGTGTGGGCCACGAGGGCGGCATCATCAGCGTAAAGCAGCTCATGGACAAGATGGTTTAAGGTCTTAGTGTGGGTCTTTGGTTGCCTTAGGTTGAAGAGGCTCCCATCAGTACGATATGGGATGTAGATACCATTATCTTCATCCAAGTCTGCCGTGGCCCTATGGAGCATCATGCTGAAGAAGATTGTGAATAGAGTTGGTGCGAGAACGCAGCCTTGCTTCACACCATTGGTTATTGGAAAGGGCTCAGAAAGTGCATCACTGTATCTGACTTGACCACGCTGGTCCTCATGAAGCGAGATGATCATTCTGAGGAATTTGGGAGGACATCCTAAACGTTCCAAAATCTGCCACAGACCTTTTCTGCTCACAGTATCGAAAGTCTCGGTGAGATCAACAAAGGTAACATAGAGTCCTTTGTTCTGTTCCCGACACTTCTCTTGCAGTTGTCTGAGAACAAATACCATGTCTGTGGTACCTCTGTTGGCTCAGAAACCACATTTGCTTTCAGGTAGAAGATCTTCTGCTATGGTGGGTATTAATCTGTTCAAAAGAATTCTTGCAAGGATTTCACCAGCAATGGAGAGCTTTTGGTAATTTGAGCAGTCTGATTTATCTCCTCTCCTCTTGTACAAGGTGATGATGACAGCGTCACAAAGGTCTGAAGGCAGTTCACCTCATTCCCAACAACGCACCACGAACTCGTGAAACTTAGCATGGAGTGCTTGGCCACCGTACTTCTAAATTTCAGGTGGGATTCTGTCAACCCCAGCTGCCTTGCCCATTTTCACCTGCTGTATTGCTTTAAGAGTTTCTCCCATGGTGGGGGCAGTATCCAGTTCAGTTTTCATTGGTTGTTGTGAGATGTACTGCATTGCTGAGTCTTGAACTACACAGCTAGTACTGAAGAGAGTCTGAAAGTGTTCAGACCATTGATTCAAAATGGAAGCTTTGTCTGTGAGAAGCATTAGGCCATCTGTACTGAGTAGAGGGCTTTGAACCTGGTGTGTAGGACCATAGGCTGTTTTCAGAGCCTCATAGAATCCCCTGTAGTCACCTGTATCTGTGCATAATTGGATTTTTTCCGCTAGATTGGTCCACCACTTGTTCTGGATGTCACAAAGTTTCTGTTGTAGCTTGCTGCATGCGAGTCCAAAGGCTGCTTTTCTTCTATGACA